TTAGTGAGAATACAGTAGTTTGAATATGTTTTTAAGTGAGAAAATACACCTGAAAACGTAATCAGTGCAGTCAGTTCATTCAGATTATAATCCTGCCTTCCAATATTTTTTCCTTCGGAGCCGCTCAGACCCCCACATACCGGCGGTGCGCCGACAGTAGGAATCCCTTCATCAGCAGCCTCGGGCCGGGTCGCCTCCTCGCGGTTCACCGCTGCAGCTGGTAGGTGTTTTTCATGCAGGCAGCAGGATAATAAAAGCCAACATATTCTGCCGGCAGATTTCTGCATTTTAAGTTAATTTAGGCATCAATAAACTGTTTAAGAGGAGCGATCCTAGCGCTCTGATCATCAGCGCTGTGTCTCTCTCCCTGCCAGCTCCCAGATCAGCTTCTCTGATTGGTTGACGCGCCGCGTCGAGCAGCAAAAATTCAATTTTTCCATCTTGAGCAGCAGCGCGTTTGCGGTCAGATGCTTAAACGCGCCCGACGCGCTGCTTCAGCTGCTCAGACGTGCTGCGCCTGCTGCTCAAAACGCGCCGCGGGACCTTTTGCTGCGCCTTGACGCGGGTCAACCATTGACTTTGCATGTAAACTCGCTGCTTCTGTCACGCCAGCTGCGTCCGGTGTGAACGCAGCATTAGTCATTCGTTGTGTTCGCCTTTCTGCTAAGCTCAAAACAACCGCGCCTGGCTTGACGGAGAAACCAGGAGAACAGCTGAGCATATTTACGACAGTGCACTTTTACTTTCGCCCTCTGGGGGGAGCCTCGCTGGAAAATCAACACCGGTTGCATAGTATACCTTTAAAAGGTGAAGTATGGCTTTCCGAATGTTATTTTATTGTGATCAGTACATCCAAGCAACAATCCTATTACTGCTTCAGTGGACTGTTCCTGTCACTGCATTGTCCTTATTATAATGGGAGTTCTAATAATGGTTGCAAATAAAATTCACCTTTCTTATTTTTTTCACGTTTTTATTAAGTCTTTACATCAAAAGTGAAAAAAACTAAATTTTCAGTGGAGCAGAAGTGGATAATTCAAAAAAGTGGAGGGTCTGTCAGCAAAGGATCTGCCAGTTATGAAGGTTATTTTGTTTCAAAACTATTTGTGCATTGTAAGTGTGAATTTTAAGTTGTAGAGAGAATTACATTCTAAGTTTTGTATGTGTAGAATAATAAAAAAAAAAAATTCACAAATACAAATTTTTTTACGCCTGTTGCAATTTTAAGTACAAGTATGCAAATTCTGTTCCACAACTTGCACATCAAAAACCTCTTACATTCTCAGTTTTGCTTCAAATGGTTCAGAACTATTGTTGCTAAATTATTTTTACATTTTAACTTTGGTTTTTTGTAACTGTAGATTTTTTTGAATCTGACACAATTACAAAAAAAAAGTTACACCTTTTAAAATTCTGGAGTACAAGTAGACGAATTGTGTTCTGTGAGTTGCACATCAAAAATGTCTTCCTTTCAGTTTTCCCACAGTTGATATAAAACAAATGGTTCAAAACAAATTAAAACACGTGTATTAAAATCTTCTAAAAAAAAAATATATATATATATATATATATATATATTTTTTTTTTCTTTTTTCCTTTATTTATAGTCCCCATACTGCAGATATATGCAGATGTATTAAAATCTGTCCTTAAATTACAGTCAAACCTATTTACACAGTAACAGATAAAAACCTTTAGATAAATCAAACGTTAGTGCCACATTTCTGACTCAATAACCATTAAAACAACTATTTTTCATTCATTTCAGACGGAACTATTCACATATTTGGAATATATTAAACTGAACTTCCAATATTCACCACTATTCGGCGCCATTTCCCTTTTGCCAATCTGAATTTATGGAGCTAAATTGGGGCCAAAAAATGTAAAATAAATAAATATAAATAAATAAATACATTAAAATTAAACCTGGAGTTTGAAAAATATTTAAACCGGATTAAAAAAGAACTATTTATACCTGAAAAACTTGCTTGAAAGTAAAAAGCAGTGACTTAAATATTTATTTGTTAAAATGAAAGAAACAGAAGTTAACTTTCAACTTTTGTAATACAATGTTTATTTTTGGATTATGGCCTCTCATAGATAAACCCAGAAGAATTACTAGAGATAGTGCTGCACCTATTGATAATATTTTTTCTAATTTTACTGATTGAAAAATGTGGTTTACTATACTACTATAAGTGATCACCTTCCAAGTTTTATGATATTAAAGGGGTTAAAGGCAAAAAATGTAATAAATAAAGTTTTATAATAATTTATGCAGACTTAGAACCCCTAACAAAATATAGGAGCTTTGAAGAGGGACGTCAGTCATTGTAATTGTTTATGTTGATGATTCAAATTAAGGTTGTAAGAGATTTCTGCATATTTTTTAAACTTATATGACAAGCATTGTAGTATAAAGCAGTATTTAGTTCATCACAAAAAATCAAGAAAAAGCTTGTTTAACTAAAGGTCTCCAGAGAGCATGTAAAAGAAGAAGCTGTGTTTATAAATATTTCCTGCAAGCTAAAGCTGAGAAAAGTAGGGGGACAAAGCATATAAAAAATACATTGACCATGATTATGAGATATCCATCCATCTTAAGCCATGCTTATCCATGCCCGGGTCGCGAGGGGTGCTGGTGTCTATCTCAAGCTGTCTACGGGTGAGAGGCGTGGGCCGCCCTGGACAGGTCGCCAGTCCATCGCAGGGAAACACAGAGACAAACAGGACAAACAACCATTCATGCACAAACTAACACCTAAATAGAATTTAGGGAAGCCTATTAACCTAACAGTCATGATTTTGGACTGTGGGAGGAAGCCGGAGTACCCAGAGAGAACCCATGCATGAACAGGGATAACATGCAAACTCCACACATAAAGACCCCAGGCTGGGAATTGGACCAGGAACCTTCTTGCTGCAAGGCAGCATTGCTACCATCTGTGCCACCATGCAGCCTATTATGAGAAACCCATGAAACAATATTACACTGACATACTAGAGGCTGGGAAAATAATATTAAAATCATTTAAAGTAATAAACCATCCATTCTTTCTCTCCCGCTTATTCCATCAGGGTCGTGGTGGGGCCGGTGCCTATCTCCAGCGGTCTATGGGCGACAGGCTGGTTATACCCTGAACAGGTCACCAGTCTGCTGCAGGGCAACACAGAGACATCATTCACAAACACACACCTAAGGACCATTTAGACCAGCCAATTGTCCTAACAGTCATGTGTTTGGACTGTGGGAGGAAGCCGGAGTACCCAGAGAGAACATGCAAAATCCATGCAGAAAGACTCCGGGCCAGGATCAGAACCCTGAACAAGGCAACAGCGCTATCCACTGTGCAGCCCTTTTATAAACCATATTATTGGAAATAGAAACAAAATGAATTTTCTAGCTATTTTTGTGTAAAGTTCTACTTCAAAAGTCAACAATGTAAAAACATTATGAATAATTTCAACAAATTATTTATTAATGTCGGCACTTGGCTAGAAAAATTAAAGTTGCTGATAATAATAAGATCAATTAATACCTTGATTAGAAGCAATAAACGGTCCCTATTTCTTCTTAATTGAGAAAAAAGACACAATTGAAGTAGTACAGAAATTTAGCTATAAAACATCAATAGATGTGGATTATATGGATATGGTGATAATTAAGGGAGAGATTGATTTATTAACCAATCCATTAAAAAATATCTGTAATATTTCCTTTCCAAGAGGCATTTTTCCAAATGATTTTAAATGAGCAAAAATGGTTCCACTATTTAAACATGGAGACAGATATTGTATGGATAATGGAATAGAATAGAATAAAAAAAATCCCTTTATTGTCCCACAATTCTGGTGTTTACGGCAGCAAAAAGATTATAGAAAAAATAGTCACACAAATGTGGACCTTAGAATAATTTATAAGAATAACATAAGAGTAAAGAATAAAACATAAACAATAAAATCCTGTGCAGTAAAGTGTTTTAACAATATAAGCTGTTCACCTGGAGAATAAATAACCAATATGCAGCTATGGACTTTTTTACAATAATGGATATTTGAAAATAGCAGCAACATCAGAGATAAGCAAAATAACAGCAGCATGTTATTTAACTCACTAAGGTAGGACCTGCAAAATCAGCATGCATGTAACAACTTATAGAGGTTGTTGGGAACAGTGGTGGTTCTAGAGTCTTCCAGCTGCCTGGAGGAAGGATCTGTGATAACGCTCCCTGGTGCATTTAAGGTGCAGCAGTCTGTCACTGAAGGAGCTCTCCAGTTCTTACAGGCAAGTTTCATTATTTCCTCAATTTTCTAAAATAACAAACGGTGTGAAAACACCTGGATGATCTTATTGAGAAAAATTAAATATAAAATGAAGAAGGATATAGATTTAAACACGTAGAACAACAATGGTAGAAGGAATAGCTGAACCAAGTGAAAATAATTAATATTCTGTTGGTATTTTTATGGAATTAAGGGAAGCTTTTGATACTTTAGATCATACATTATTACTAAAAATGTATGCATGTACAAGTTCAGAAATAGACCAGAACAAAGTTTCTCAGTTGTTGAAAAATTTTATTTTTTTCTGACGATACTAATTTGTATTATTGAGGAAATAATGCGATCAAAAAGAAGCTGGATCAAAGCTCAAAGTCTGTTTTGATGTAAATAAATTACCACTTTATTCTGATTAAACTAAATGTATGGTCTTTGGAAACAAAATAATGGTAGTAGTGACATAAATGTTAAGATCTGTGAAGTTGAAATCGAAAGAGTTTGGGAGACAAAATTTCTGGGCGTAGTAACTAATCAAAAACAAAATGATGAAATAATTTTTTTTTAATTTATAATTAATCTTCTCTAAACGCCACTTTTTTCCCTTTTTCTGATCTTTCTTTTCTCCCCATTCTTTTAAACTCTTTATCCAAACGTCCATCTCTAAAAGTTGTAAAAGGGGCGTGTGGTGACGTCATCACGCAAATCAAAACACCCTCCCATATTTGGTCGTGGCTTCCGGTGACTCTCACCGCCTCATGATGGCGTGTCTGTGGCGCGTGCTGCCACAGCTCTCAGGTTTTGGCGCCTTGGTGAGGGAGCGGGACACAGCGTTCCGGCTGGCAGGCCTGGCAGTCCGCTACCAGAGCACCCAGACGGCCCCTCACATCCCCGGCATGGAGTATCAGGTAGGGCGGGAACGCGGCTCCTCCAGCTGCTGCTAACTTAGCTAGCTGGTCCACCGCAGACCGGGCAGAGTCGGTTCGACTGGATGGAACCTGTCAGGAACCGCAGCTTCTACCTCTGGACGGAGGTCCAAAGATGGCTGACAGCTGCTGGCTTCATTATGCAGCTCTAAAGGGAATTAGCTCATGTTGTAGAGGGGGCAGCAGAGAGGGGGGGGGGGGGGGGGGGTAATTTAGCGGGGTTCTGGTTCCACTGGGTCAAAGAAACAAAATAAACCACTGAACTCTCAGCCTCATGATGGCTAGCACTGCCTGGGCACTCAGGGAGTTTGAATTTCCCTTAAAACTCCGAGGAGAACCTGAAAATAAATAAAACAGATCTAAAGTTCTGTTTTCTGACTCTGGTCTTTAGATGGACATGTGCAGAAAGTTGTGGAGATTCAGGGTTGAATGGATCTAATCTCTGAATGTTCAGGTGGTTCTCCTGCTGGGAGCTGAAGCTCCATCTATGGTCTCTGAGCTCTTCCAGGATTCTCCTCTTTAAAGGATCCTGGCTGCTTCTCTTCTCTGTTGAGGTGGACCTGTGTGACTTGGTAGATCTGGTCCATCCAGGGCTTCCACAGGTCATTAGATTAAGACCTTAATCAGCATAAAATTCATTAAATATGATTATCGTGGCATTTAAAATGCTTTGATTGAAAAAATAAATAAATAAGTTTATAAAAACAATTTTGTGAGATAAACCAGAATATCTCTGGTTCCGTATGTTAGAGAGAGAGAGATTTGATTTATTTTATTTACTTCACATCAGAATACTACGGAAGAGGATTAGGGCCACTGAAAAATGAAAAATAAAAAGTTAACTGATTTTTTTAAATTTTATTTCTGTATAGTATGGGGGAAAAAAGCCAGAATTCTGACTTTTTTTCTCAGAATTCTGACTTTTTTTCTCAGAATTCTGACTTTTGTTCTCAGAATTCTGACTTTTGTTCTCAGAATTCTGACTTTAATCTCAGAATTCTGACTTTAATCTCAGAATTCTGACTTTAATCAAATGAATTATTGTCAGAATTCAGTCAGAATTCTGAGATTAAAGTCAGAACTCTGAGGAAATAAAAGTCAGAATTCTGACTTTTTCCCCATACTAAAATGAAATAAAATTTAAAAATCAGTTAACTTTTTTTTTTTCCACTGGGCCTAATCCTCTTCCGTAGAATACAGACACTGTTTCCATCATCACAATAAAAAACAACCATTACCACACAAACAGACATGGATAAGTTAAATATTAAGATATTAATTATTATGAGCCATATTCAGTAGAGTAAGGAGAGAGACTTGTTGATAGCATTAGAATTATTTCTAAGAGCATTAAAGTCGTAGGGAAATCATATTTAAATTTAAATCACTCTGGCTTAACAATTTGGAACATGCTTCATCTTGAATTCCTAGAACCAAGGTTTTGAGGGCCATAGACCTAAAATAGATTCATTATCTCTGGAAGTATAATGATCATAAATGTGTTACGACTGTGAGGTGATTTAGAGATTATATCTGTTGGTTAATGAGCCAAAAAGCAAGAGAACAGAGAGTTGGCTTTTATATGAAAGCAGAACTTGTTTATTGACAATGTAGATATTTTGAAGTTTAAAAGCTTAAGGTTGTAGGGAAATCATATTTAAATGTCAAATAATTTGGGCTTAAACATGTATATAAATGTACTCTTTATCAGACGATATTGTTCCCACATTTAGAAAATTTCTATTTAAATAAAAATTAGGTGTTAAAATCTGTTTTTTTTCGTTATCTTCTGCAGGCCAGTTAGTTATACGGCAGCCTGAACACCTAAATTCGGCCAATCATATATCAACGGTCATCTGTCAATCAAATGTTTTCAGTCATAGCATCTTGATTCATATGTCGCAGCTAATATACACAACGGTTGAAATGAGAAATCAGAATCCTTTCCTTTCCCATTGAGTTGCGTCCCAGTGTTCATGGGGATGGACGTCTGTGTCTTCGGCAGGCGTAGAGCTAACAGAACTGGCAGCGTTGCGAGGCAAGGGCTCAAACATGTACGACTGGAAGCCTTCTACACCAAACCAAGCTTCTGTCGCCATGGCGTCCTCTTCCACAACATCTTCGTCGCCGCTTTCCTCCTCTAAATAAAAAATGGATGACGGAGGAGACTCATCCACGACCTCCGACACTAAACTCTCCTCCTCTTGCATGTTTCCGCTGTCCATAGCGTTCCTTGACAGCGTCGTTTCTAAGTCACCAATTTAGTGCTAATTGGTCCCAATGGAATTTCCCATTGGTAACCTACTAGCACTAAGTCGCTAACTGGTTAGCAAGATGCTTCCGACAAACCGGCTACAACCAAACTTGCTTGCAAACCTTCTGCCACAACAATCCCGCCCCCTTGATAATCGACCAATCACATTCACTTTATTCACTAGTGTAAAGTCGGGCACCACTCGGGAGAATTCGGAAATGCAACGTTTGGAACAGCCGCTACCCTACGACTTTAAAAGACCTATTTAAAAAAGCATTAACTTAGAGTTACTCATTCCTGTATAAACCCTGCTCTCCCTCCATGTTCAGAAGCTGTAGCTTTAGAACCTGATCTGGTGTTCTGTCAGATCCGCATACCCATAGTAAATACCCGTTTATCTCTTTAGTGTTTCCCTTTAGTTTTGTATGAAAAATAAGACTTTAGCTACCTCAGAGGCTGTGTATCCCCTTAGTCATGTACAAAAAAACTATTTAATTATTACCGTTTGGTGCTTTTTGAAGCGTATGACAATCTGACCTGAAATTGTTTTTTTTTTTTTTCATGACTAAAGGGATACACGTATGTTGAGGTAGCTAAAGTCTATTTTTCATACAAAACTAAAGCAGGGTTCCCGCAGGTCCTTAGAAAGTCTTAAAAGGCATTGAATTCTTCAAAATAAAACTAAGGCCTTAATTGGTATTAAAATGTCTTAAATCAGTCTTTCGTAGGTCTTAATTTTTAAAACATCATAAATAGGATTATTTTTATTACGATTTATTTTTGTAATCTAAATAAAACGTTAAAATTAACAATTAACGGCTCTCCATTATTGGTTCCGTCCCGATAGCGGAACCAATAAAGCGTTGTTGCGGCCGGGACTTTTGGGAGATGCATCATTAACTTTTTGTCTGGAAAATATGAGCAAGTGTAAATGTAACCAAAATTGTCTCCAGCCAAGAGTTTCCTCCATGGCTAAAACCAGGGAACATACATGAGGCTCAGTGGATTTAGTGCAAGAAGTCATTCAAGCTCAGAACGATGGGAATTAAGGCAGTGGAGTCGCACATGCGAAGCACGAAACACAAAGCGTCAAAATGGAGTTACAGAGAAACAGCCGGTATTTCTCAGTTTAGTTCCACCCTTGTCTCTGCAACGCCTCCACTTATCACCAAATCAAACATACTAAGAAAACCATACAAAGAAAAATAGCTGCTAAAAAGACTTAGCACTGGTTATGTTGGGGCTTTAAAACTGATTAGTTTTGTTCCCTGCTAAAACAAAGTTTGTGAATTCAGTTAAATAATTGTAAAAATATATCTGTCATTTGTGTGTTTTTAGTTTTCTTCCTGTATGGGAAGCTTTTCAACATTTGAAACATTAGTGCAGGAATTTATGTTAAAATAAACCTTTGGGTTAAGATGTCGCAAGCTGGTTTTTCTTGTTTCTTGTGAATTTGGTCTTAAATTTTTATTTAAGTGGCATTAAAAAGTCTTAAAAAGTCTTGAATTTAACTTGCCTTATGCTGTAGGAACCCTGTAATGGGATAAATGTAAATCTGAGGTCTTGATCCTACGTATTAATTATGGGTATGCTGGTCTGACAGAACACCGGCTTTAGACAGAACCAGAAACGCTGCAGTCAGTCTGAGGATAAAAAACCCAAAGCTGGACTCTGATTGGAGGCTTTCAGAAGGCAGCTGGCTGATCTGGTTTTTATTTAAAGGTGTAAAAGTAAAGGGGTTCGGTTTCACCTGGGTGATCAGCTGAAGATGCAGGAATTCTCCATGTTTTCTGAAATCTAGTGTATTTTAATATTTCTCAGCTTTGTAAGGTGGAACCATTCAGTTTAAATTGTATTTTTCTTTCTTCTAAATGGGGGAAAACAAACGGATTGATTCAAGTATTGATCGAATCCCGTTAAACTGATCAGTTTAAAGGCTTTTCTCTATCAGAGAGAAGCTCAGACGGGTTTGGATGATGGAGGTAGGTGTCTCCTGTCAGCGTAACATTTTCTGGGAAGCGGCTCGTCCACCGGCTGAGTGGGAATGGAAAAGAAACTCCTGTTGTCTTGACTTTTATGATGCGTCTCATTGTAATCATGTTGTCTTCCTCTTCCAGGACGCAGTCTGCACCCTGAACACGCTGCAGACCAACGCCAGCGCTCTGGAGCAGGTCCGCAGAGGAAGGAGTCACCCTCAGCAGCAGCTGCAGGCCATGAGAGGCTTCCTGGAGCGGACCGGGCTCACGGTGACTTCACTCACAATAACACCACCGTCTCTAAACGTGTGTTATTGTTTTCCTGGGGCTTATCTCGCTGTGTTTGTTTTTTAAGGTGGATCAGCTTGATCAGCTCAATATCATTCACGTCACAGGGACAAAGGGCAAGGTGAGAGGATTTAAAGCGCCGGTTCTCTCTTTTATCACGTTCACATGTGCAGCCAGTTGTGCAACAACTCAGGAGGTTCAGTAAACAAACATGTCCGCTCATTTCAGGTCATTTATAAAGCAGCAATTCAAAACACATCATCTCAGCTGGATGGGTTAAAGGTTTTCTATCTGAGAAAACAAAGCTGGGGGCAAAAAGAATCAGATGAGTTTGGTTATTTAGGGCTTTATATGTGAGATTTTAAATTATATTCTGGATTTAACGGGAAGCCGGTGAAAATTAGTTTTTAATTTTCAGCAGAACTCTGGCTGCAGCATTTTTAACTACATTCATTGGACTTATGAGCCTTGAAGTAACGGCTGCATGTTTGACCCGGGTGGTTCTGTCTTCCAGGGATCCACATGTGCTTTCACAGAACAGATCCTCAGAACTTATGGCTTCCGGACTGGATTTTACAGGCAAGTCGATCACACGGTGTTGGACTTGGAGGAGACGGGTCCAGAACAGAAAGTCTGTTCTGGGTCCTCCTGGTTCTTCATATAGTTAACCAGCAATGGAACATTTTCCACCATAAATGGTTTTAAATCTTTAGACACTTTATATAAGTTAGGAAAAACTCTTTAGACGATCCGATCGATTCCAGATCATCACTACTACATAATTAAACTACATGAAGTCACGCGACTATTCTATCTACTGATTAATCCACATGGCTGACTGAGTTCATAATGATAAAAAAAGTTAAAAATAGATTAGATTATCAGACAATGAAATCTGGATTTTAATTCCAGCTAACCAGATTTTAAAAGATCTGTGCCCACAGCATGATGCAACCACCACCATGTTTCACAGCGTGGTGGTGCCTCTGAAAGCTCTGCCTTGTTGAGCTTTGATCTTTGTTTAATTAAAAAAATGTAAATAAATCGTTTAAAGCTACAGTGTGTAATAATTACAGGGATATACAGCCAGAAATGTAATATATTATAGCTAACTATGTTATTTATCATCATCTACGAGCTCAGCCTCTTAACCTTAATATCTGCGTTGCCTTAGAATTCGTTATTTATAATTACATAGGAGCGGGTCTCGCAGCCATGGAGGCAGACATCTTTGCGCTACGGCAGCGCAGAGCCAACAAACTAGGGATTGCGAGATCGCCCATTACGCTCGAAAGTAACTACGGCAAGTTGAGAGAGATGAACTGAGACGGTACTGAACAATAGATGGCAGTATTAAAATTATCTATGTAAACAAACCTCATCACTTGAGAAGGTAGGTGATGCGGACGTCGTGGAAGACATTTTGTCCCGTAACGCTCGCCGTACTGTTGGGGGGGAGAAGCGGTGGGGGGAAGATGTTCATGTTGCTGCGGTCTGCAGTCTGGACGTTAGATGTCGCTGAAAATTACACACTGTAGCTTTAAACTGACTGACTTTATTCTAGAGCAGAGGTCATAGATTAGCGGACCGCGGTCCGGATCCCAACCCACCCTGCTGGCTAATCTGGACCCAAACTGATTTAAAACATTTAAAAATATTGCATGTCGTCCGACGGCAGGGTCTATTTTCACTTGCGCCGCTTCTCCTGTTAATACGGTAAAGCCCTGGGGAGCGTCCGGCTCCAGGCTGCACGTGATCCAAATGAGCCAATGAGCTGTCAGTCTGGGTTGCTGCTGCTGCTACTTTTAGACACAGCAGGCAAACCTGTGGCAAGCCGGGCGATGGGAAAGAAGGAGAAGACCATGAGAAAAAGAGAGCAGAGAAAGCGTGGACTGCTGGAAGAACTGCGGTGAACTGGTGAAAGAAAAGTGAAATGGCGTGCTCAAAGATGACCCTGCACATTTAGAGGATGTTTGGCTCAACCTGCTGCTGTGAAGCAGGATTCTCCACCATGAACAGAATCAACAATAAATATGGATCCAGGCTCAAAATGAGCTCCTTGATATGTGCTTGAGAATGGCTTAGTCTCCATTTAAACCCAGGTTTAAAGCCTTGCAGGGCAGCCTAAAGCCCACTGCCAACATTAAGTCAGAAAAAAGAAAAATAAAGAAATCGTCAGTTCAGGTGTTTCATAAAATATGTGAATCAGGAAATTGTCTTTATACCAAACTGAATGATTTTTGTTCTCTACTTCAAAAAACACTTTCAATTTTAAAATGGAAAAATTTTCTATTTTTTTTAAATATTTTTTATTAAAAATTCGGTGTATGACATAGATGCATACAAATCCGCTTTTTATTTCAGTGTTAAATGCCGATTAAAGTAACAGATTATAATTAAAAATGTCTCCGCACCTTTACTGGTTGATCATTTATTTGGATCCCGCTCATTTTAAATTGGTTACTCCTGGTCTAGAGGTTCTTTATTTTGATTTCTGGTGAAATTACAGGATTTAAGTCGCATTTTAAGGGAGAACCTATGGAGATGATTGTAGGAATCAGCAGGTTTCTGACTGTTCACATCAAAGTCGTTAAAGTGCCCCATCAATATCGATCATCGTGGGTTTTTAAAATTTTTTTAAAATGTGAATAAAATCGTCTAATTGGAGAATTTTCTTGCTCTGTTTCTGCTCCAGCTCCCCACACCTGGTCCAGGTCAGAGAGAGGATCCGAATCAACGGCCAGCCCATCAGTAAGGATCTCTTCACTAAATACTTCTGGCAGGTTTATGGAAGGCTGGATGAAACCAAGGTGAGAACAGCCGGAAACATTTAGTTTTTATTTTCTCACCAGAGATCTGCTGTTTAACCCTTTAAAGCCCAATCCAAGAATAAAACAAAACAAAAAATTACTTTTTTTTTTGTTCGAAGTCCTTTTTTGCCCTTCTAACAGAATATGTGAAAAGAAAAGACAGAAATACATTTTTTGATATTAATAATTTATTACTATGCGATAAGTCAGGATAATTTTTTGTGTAGTCTTCTACTGGCTGTTATCAGGTATATCTGATTGTGTACAATAGGATTTTGAGCAAAGTTTTTACCATTAAATTATGCAAAAGGTGTCAGACGCAAAACATTTCAGAAACCGTATGTATCAAATATGATACATTTGGCATTATAGGGTTAAAAAACAGAGAAAAGCAGTAAAATGCGTAGCAGAGGTTTTTGTATCTCTAATTTTTCTCCTCCTGTTATTAACTCTCATAAAAGAAAAGCTGCTGTGATTCCTCCAAAGTCCAAATATGGTTGAGGTTTTCACTGGGATGTTTTTAACATATTTATAGTATTTGACTTGCAGATTCAGATTCTATTTGTCATTGAAGCTTTTAGCAACAGGGAGTAAAGTGATGCAGACCCAGAACAAATCTCCTCGGGTCAGAATGTGATGAGTGTGATCTGCATGTGACTGCATGGGTTCGTTCATTGGAAACGTTAAGCTCTTCATTTCCTCTCGCTTTAAAGTAGAGCTGGGCAATTAATTGCATTTGCAATATAATCGCAATTTAACAAAACATAGTTTTCAATTTGCAGAGGCAATCAATTTTATTATTAGATTTCGTAGCTTAATTTATCCTTCCAGCCCTTTAGCTGGCGGTGATATGCTTAAAGTCTGTTTGCAAAGGCACAGACGGGGAGATAGGTGTGCAGCTAGCATGCAAATTCATGCAAGCAAGTAGAATTGATCACCAGACAAAAGGTTACAGTAAAGTCCTACAATAAAGGACTCTGGACAAGCAAGCTTTCCAGGTCATGAAAAAACTGAAACCCTGTATTGAAACATTAACATGATTTTGGTTAATGCAAAGGAAAAACAAAGTAAAATCACAACTGCAATATTGTTTTTTGGCTAAATCATTCAGCTCTACTTTAAAGCGAAGCACTTTGATTTAAATGCATGCAGCCTGCAGCTGTAAAACTGGATGTCAGGAGGTTTTTCTAGTTGTTTCCGTCCATCATGGTTCAGAAGAACAGATCCAGAAGCTCAAACTTCAGTTCCCACAATGTTTAGATGTTCGATTCTGTATGTTTATTTAGTGCCAATTCACAACACATGTCATCTCAAGGCACTTAACAGAGACATTTCAACCAGATCATACAGTCAGATTGGTTCACAGTTTATATCTGAGGGAAACCACCTGATCGCATCGACTCGTTGACTCGAAAGCAATCCCTCACACAAAGCATGATTGTAGCAACAGTGGAGAGGAAAAACTTCCTTTTAACAGGAGGAAACAGAATGGAAAGTTAGAAATTGACCTAACAAATACTGCAGAATAGGAGAATAGAGATAAAATGATGAAATAGGGGTCCCTATGTCCTCCAGCAGTCTAAGCCTATAGCAGCTTAACTATAGAGATAGCTCAGGATAACCTGAGCCACTCTAACTAGAAGCTTCATCAAAAAGGAAAGTTTTAAGCCTAGCCTTAAAAGTAGACAGGGTGTCTGCCAGCCAGGCATACGCTGTACAAATGTTTTTTTTTTTGCCCTTTTTTTGGGCCAATTCTCCAGTTGTGCAAGAATTTTTCAATCTGGCTGAGTTTCAGCCTGGTCGTGTGTCTTTGTGTTGTTGTATACAGGTGGTAACGAGGGGCGATCAGCCTCTCACAACCACCTACCGATCAGTAACCGTAAGATAATCAAACATCGGCGAGGTGGTCGCGGGCAAACAAGGATTCTTCTTCTTCCTTTCAGACGAAAACACAGAAGCATGGCGGGGTTCCAATGAGTAAAATGGAGTCATTTCTGTAAAATCTTCCGACCGTAGCAGCCATGTCTGTTCAGCCATGTCTTTGTCCAAATACATCGTCGTCTATTATTCTTTATTTTATTTTTTTTTAGGCCTTTCAACACAAAATAGCACAAATTGCCAAGGCAGCATTTCACTTTAGTGAGCTTCATATTTCTCTTCTACTCGTCTGGCTTCCAGATAGACGAGTCCGAGTAGCGCCATCTCACTGCGGAGTAGGGGTGTGCAAAATAGTCGTCATGACAATGCATCGCAATTCCAATTTTTGTGATCTACTGCATCGATTCTATATGCCAAGTATCGATTTTTAATTTAAAAAAATGAATAAATAAAATACAGGAATAGTTGGCGCACATCAGCCAAAAGTAGCGTCCAGTCCAGTCGATGTCGCTGCGGATGCGTTGACGCCCGCTGTCTCCTGTCACAAGCATTTCCGGCTGAGTCATTCATAAACAAAACATGGAGGAAAATTCGCCCCGCGGTTCCATCACATTTCAAGTCAGATGCTTGGATGTATTCTGGCTTTAAAAACAAAGAAGGTAAAAACGAAATTGATATGAAGCACGTAATTTGAAAAAGGGGAAATGTCTTACATTTGAATGTTTCCATTTCATTGGTTTAAAGGACCACTGAGGCCGTGTAAACGGCACTGATTATCCTTATTTTGTTATTTAAAGTTTTATAAATGCTAAGCACTTTGTCAGTGTGTCCATGCCAGTAATTGTACTATTTCTGTCCAGTATTTGTTTTTATTGCAAATCCTCCAAAAGTCATTTCAATAAATACAGCTATGTATGAATTCAGTTGCTTTCAGTTATTTATCAACTGAAGACACTATCAAGATCACACCCAGCCAGTCAGCCACTGGTTGTATATATAATATCTGTATATTTTTCTTACAGTGTTCAGTAAAAATATCGCAATCCATCACAATATTTCAAGTATCGTGATGCATCGTGATAGAATCGCATTGTGACTTCTTTGGCAAGACCCACCCCTACTGCGGAGCCCCACCTGGTTTTTAGACGTACAGTGTGAGCAGGTAGATTGCGTCAGAGCGTCGGGTCGCAGAGTGTGAGAACAAACATCGTGAGCTGTTAACTTTTAAACCCTGCCGTTTCATCGTACTGTCTGAGCTGTAGCTGCGTACAATGATCGAAAATATTGTGCAGTGTATGCCCGGTTTAAAAGATTTGCCTCCCATTCTACTTATGGAGATTCTAGGAACTACTAGTAAACCTGCAGATTTAGAGAGAAGTTCTCTGCTAACTTATGAGGAGGTGATCCAAAGTTCTGGACCAGGCTTGTATTTTAAAACTGCAGAATGCCAGCCAGCGAGTAACGGCCTCCAAAGAGCTCAGACTCTGTTAGCAGGTCAAAGGTTAAAGGTCAGGAGAGGATGGTTGGACTGAATTAGTGAGAATTGTTGGGAACGAGGATGTCTCCTCTCTCTGATGCTATCGGACAGCCCAGGTCTTCTGGGAAACATGAGACTAAGGCTCTGTCCGAAAACCTGGGCAGCATCCTCCAAGGACGCGGTCTACCTAGACTGGATCCTTCCAAGTCTGTGAAAATAAGGAGACCGGAAGAGTTTTGGCTGTGAATTCGACCAGGTCTACCCTTCGGCGGGTTTTACCGCCGTATGCTCTGTTGCCTAGCAACCGTTAAAGTTGAAACACAAAGCAGGAAAAGAAGGAATACCGAAGTTTTCAAAACTGTTTATTTCTTTTTTATTGTACACTCACAAGAATCCAGAGTGGAATAAAGGTTCCAACCACCGGGAGCAGGAACAAATAAAATCAAATGTAATGATAGAAACCTTAGTCAGTTAAATAACCTGCTGCTGTCATTCTGCACATCTCTGATGTTGCTGCTATTTTCAAATATCCATTACTGTAAAAATGTCCATAGCTGCATATCGGTTATTTATTCCCCAGTTTTATATTGTTAAAACACTTTACAGAATTTATTGTTTTTTTTAACTCTTCCCTATTATGTTATTCTTATACATTTTTCTAAGGTCCACATTTTTTTGACCATTTTCAATAATCGTTCTGCTGCTGTAAATTTGCTCATTGTGGTACAATAAAGAGATTTTCTATTCTATAAAAGGGTTAGAAAGATATAAATAAATCTAAACAATGTATTTATAAAAAATATATCTGCAAAATCTCTAATATTCAACAACAAAAAATACTTAGTTAAGCATATTGTGCAAAACAGCAATAAAAAGATAAAAATCCTATCAGATTTATAGTCCCCACCCTGCAGATATATTAGAATCTGTCCTTTAATTACAGCCAAACTCATTTACACAGTAACAGATTAAAACCTTTAGATAAATCAAACATTACCGCCACATATCTGACTCAATAACCATTAAAACAACTATTTTTCATTCATCTCAGACGGAACTATTCACTGACTTGTGTTATATTAAAATGAACTTCCAATTTTCACCACTGTTCGGCGCCAAGTAACCTTTCCTCTGATCACAGCTTGCTTGGTCTCGCAATGAATCCTGGGATATCCAAGGATACCGAGGATACATCAGACCCGTCCTTCAAATCGGGCAAAAAGAAGGACGCATTTTAAGGCCGCATAACGAGGACTCTTGGAATCCGACCAGACCTCGGCGCCGCGCTATGACGTAATCGGCCTTCGAATCTGGCCTTCTAAGGACGCGTCCTAGGTTTTCGAACAGAGCATATATTCCCACAAACATCTGTTAATTATTCTACTGTACAGCAGTGGAGGAGTGATGGTAGGGGCTTGTTTCTCAGCCATAGTCCTGGTTAAAGACATAGGACTGTTTTTTGTTTTTTTTATATCCTATAACTCCTGTAATCCATCCTCCCGTCCTGCTTTAGTCACTCTGACTCTCTGACCTCAGGAGGTCCACGGAGGGACGATGCCGGCCTACTTCCGATTTCTCACCATCTTGGCCTTCCACATCTTCCTGCAGGAGAAGGTGAGCTCCAAAAAGTTACGACTCAGAAACAAGTCGTTTTCTTTCACTTAATCTGAATCTGAAGCGCTGCTGTCTGCGTTCAGGTGGATCTGGCTGTGATCGAAGTCGGCATCGGAGGAGCGTACGACTGCACCAACATCATCAGGTGGGGTTCTCTGTCACATCTGAAGGCTCCAGGACCGATGGGCATCATTCACAGGTAGACGTTAAGGCTGGTTGCTGTGTTCACAGGAGGCCCTGGGTCTGCGGGATCTCCTCTCTTGGCATCGACCACACCCAGATTTTAGGAGACACCATAGAGAAGATCGCCTGGCAGAAAGGAGGAATCTTCAAGGTGTTTGTTCTGGATGTAACTCATTAACAGACACTGAGCTTTAAACTTCAGCCGATATGAGTTTAAGGTTTTCACCTCATGGTTATAAATGTACAGGAAAAAAAATCTTTTACACATTTTTTCCCGCAGGTCCTTAAAAAGCCTTAAAAGGCATTGAATTCTTCAGAATAAAACTAAGGCCTTAATTGGTATTAAAATGTCTTAAATCAGTCTTTCGTAGGTCTTAATTTTTAAAACATCATAAATAGGATTATTTTTATTACGATTTATTTTTGTAATCTAAATAAAATGTTAAAATTGACAAATTTTTTTTTTATTTAAAAAAAATAACGGCTTCCCATTATTGGTTCCGTCCCGATAGCGGAACCAATAAAGCGTTGTTGCGGCCGGGACATTTGGGAGATGCTCCATTAACTTTTTGTCTGGAAAACATGATCAAGTGTAAATGTAACCAAAATTGTCTCCAGCCAAGAGTTTTCTCCATGGCTAAAACCAGGGAACATACATGAGGCCCAGTGGATTTATGCAAGAAGTCATTCAAGCTCAGAACGATGGGAATTAAGGCAGTGGAGTCGCACATGCGAAGCACGAAACACAAAGCGTCAAAATGGAGTTACAGAGAAACAGCCGGTATTTCTCAGTTTAGTTCCACCCTTGTCTCTGCAACGCCTCCACTTATCACCAAATCAAACATACTAAGAAAACCATACAAAGAAAAATAGCTGCAAAAAAGACTTAGCGCTGGTTATGTTGGGGCTTTAAAACTGATTTGTTTTGTTCTCTGCTAAAACAAAGTTTGTGAATTCAGTTAAATAATTGTTAAAATATATCTGTCATTTGTAGGGATGGAACAGTTTATAAAACCGTCCGAACCGTTCGGTTCGACTGTCTCGGTTCGGTTCGCGTGTGTTGCGTTCGGTTCATGCGCTGCTCCTTTTTCTCATAGGCGAAGCGTTTACACTCCAGAGCAGAAGGAGGCGGTACTGCGACCAAAGCCAACCACCAGTAGTAAACAAGAAGAAGAAGAAGCGAAGCAGCGTAGCCGGGTGTAGCAGGGAAAAAATCAGTTGTTGTGTAGAATTGTGTGGGTATGGCGAGTGGGAAAGAACAGGAGTTGGAAGACGCGCCAGCAGCACTTTATAGGTCTGCTGTATGGGACCACTTTGCATTTAGAGTGACCTACGATGACGGAGGAAAGAAAGTTGTGGATAAAAGTGCAACAGTGTGCAAGCATTGTGCAACACGTTTTGTTTATGCTAACAGCAACATGACCAACATGTCATGCTACATCCCACATACTCCATCAGCGCTCCGCCCCGCTGCGCTCCAGACCGGCTGCTCAAAGCAAAGCCTACAGCCTCCACTGTGGCTCCCTTCCGCTCCGCTCTGAGTTCCTTGGAGATCGTAGAGGGCATGCGCCGGATGATTAAATTCAAAGCAGCAAAACACGCGGAAAAGAACCAGGGTTTCCGTGGATCATTAAAAATAATTACAATTCATTAATTTTTGGGGGATTTTTTCATTAATTTCATTAATTTTTATGGGATTTCGGGGTATCAATCAACATATACCGAACCGAAAACCGTGAACCGAACCGTGGATTTTGTGAACCGTTCCACCACTAGTCATTTCTGTGTTTTTAGGTTTCTTCCTGTATGGGAAGCTTTTCAAAATTTGAAACATTAGTACAGTAGTTTATGTTAAAATAAACCTTTGGGTTAAGTTGTCGCAAGCAGGTTTTTCTTGTGTTTCTTGTGAATTTGGTCTTACATTTTTATTTCAAGTAGCATTAAAAAGTCTTGAATTTAACTTGCCTTATGCTGTAGGAACCCCGTCTAACATCTGGCATCTTTTCCCTGTTCTGGCAGCCGGGCGTTCCTGCGTTTACAGTCCGGCAGCCGGAGGACGCCATGGCCGTCCTGAGGGACCGATCCAGAGAGATACAGGTGAGTGCCCGTGTCTGGAGAAATCCCTCCACCTGCAGCTGCTCAGCTTTATGTTGTCCCCTCTGCCGTCCCAGTGTCCTCTCTGGGTGTGTCCTGACCTGGACCAATACCCCACAGACTCTGGACCTTTACAGCTGGGCCTGGCTGGACAGCACCAGCGGTCCAACGCCTCCCTGGCGCTGCAGCTGAGCCACACCTGGCTGCAGAGGAGATGTGGACCAGGTGAGATAACAGCTCTAGAACATGTTTTGTTTCGATTATAGGGGTTCTTACGCCGTCAGCAGCAGCGGCGACCGGACCCTTCTTTGCTTTATTATTGACGGTAGATGTTCTGTGTGGAATGGCCTCGTTGGATTCATGTTTCTGCCCCCAACAGATCAAAGCTGCTCTCCTCTCCTGGATCCGGAGAACAGCTCTATAGCCCAGGCAGCGTCTTTCAAACCCAGCCCTGTCATGGTGAAAGGTAAGTCTATAAAAAAAAAGCGGGGTCTGTCTTCCCCGGAGCCAGCAGCCGGATCACTGTCCCTGTATTTGGGTTCAGGCCTGGCGAGCACAGAGTGGGCCGGCAGGACGCAGACTCTCAGACACGGAGCGCTGACCTACTTCCTGGATGGAGCTCACACCAGGCGCAGCATGCAAGCCTGCGTCCAGTGGTTCAGAGAGACCGCCGCCCAACACGAGAGGAATGCCAGGTGAGCGGGGCGGGACCAAAGCTCAGACTCTGCTCGTTGCTTTATCCAGGGTTCCCCCCCGGTCCTTAAAAAGTCTTAAAGGAATAGTACACCCAAAACATGATTAGCCTTCATTTTCTACTCACCCCCATGCTGAACAACACTCTGGAGTACTTTTGTGATATCTCAAATGCATCTGGAGATCTGGGAGGCTTCTTGCTGTCTGCTGACATTCAAATAATGGAGGTCTATGGTGCCCGAGACAGAAAGGTCCATAAAAGTCCACAAAAACGTGTCAATATTCCTCCATACTGCTCGTCCAATGTATTCCAAGTGTCCTGAGTGAGTAGTGTCTATAATTTACTCGAAACGAAGTCATTTAGAATGTTTTTAGAGCATAAACAGTAGTGTATAGGATTTCCTAAAAGCGCGTTCACGAGTCTACGGAAGCCGGCAGACCAAACCAGATGAAAGTGCGCATTCAGCGTCTGCTCTGCCGATAATGCAAGCGTAGAAGAAGAAATGTGCTGTTTACCTGTGCAAAAAAAGAAACAACGAAAGAAAAATGTCTGAGGACTTCAGTGTTGAGGAAGAGCATGAGTTCTTTGCCGAGCTGAATGCGCACTTTCATCTGGTTTGGTCTGCCGCGGTTTCTGTAGCGTCATGAACTCGCATGCGCGCGCTTTCAGGAAATCCTATACACTACTGTTTATGCTCTAAAAACATTCTAAATGACTTCGTTTCGAGTAAATAATGGACGCTACCCACTCAGGACACTTGGAATACATTGGACGAGCAGTATGGAGGAATATTGACACGTTTTTTGTGGACTTTTATGGACCTTTCTGTCTCGGGCGCCATAGACCTCCATTATTTGAATGTCAGCAGACAGCAAGAAGCCTCCCAGATCTCCAGATGCATTTGAGATATCAAAAAAGTACTCCAGAGTGTTGTTCAGCATGGGGGTGAGTAGAAAATGAAGGCTAATCATGTTTTGGGTGTACTATTCCTTTAAAAGGCATTGAATTCTTCAACATAAAACTAAGGCCTTAATTGGTATTAAAATGTCTTAAATCAGTCTTTCGTAGGTCTTAGTTTTTAAAACATCGTAAATAGGATCATTTTTATTACGATTAATTTTTGTAATCTAAATAAAACGTTATAATTGACTTTTTTTTATTTATTATTATTTTAAAAAATTTTTAAAAATTGTATTTATTGGTTCCGTCTCGATAGCGGAACCAATAAAAGCGTTGTTGCGGCCGGGACATTTGGGAGATGCGCCATTAACTTTTTGTCTGGAAAATATGAGCAACTTAGCTTTCTTCCTGTATGGGAAGCTTTTCAAACTTTGAAGCATTAGTGCAGTGGTTTATGTTAAAACAAACATTTGGGTTAAGTTGTTGCAAGCGGGTTTTTCTTGTTTCTTGTGAATTTGGTTTTAAATTTTTATTTCAAGTTGCATTAAAAAGTCTTGAATTTAACTTGCCTTATGCTGTAGGAAGCCTGATTATTCCACACAGGTTCCTGTAAACCCTCTGATGTGTTTCAGTGGAGCTGTGGTCAGAGTGCTGCTGTTCAACGCCACGGGGGAGCGAGATTCTGCTGCCATGCTGAAGCTGCTGGTGGTGAGTCTGGGTTCAAATCTGGTAAACCAGGAACTATGAAGGTTCTATTTGTGCTGTAAGTGTCAATTTGAAGTTGTAGACAGAGTTACATTCTCAGTTTTCTATTTGTAGGATTAAAAATAAAAAGTACAATTTCTTTCTTGTTTTTTTCTTCACACCTCTTCAAATTTTAAGTACAAATACACAAACTCTGTTCTACAAGTTGCACATCAAAAACCTCTTATATTCTCAGTTTTGCTCCAAATGCTCCAGAACTATTGTTGCAAAACTGTCTGTATTGTAGCTTTGGTGTTTTGTAACTGTAGATTTTTTATTTTTTTTTATCTGTGACAGATTGAAGCTAACTCTGTCTCTCTGCTCTCTCCTCTCAGCCGTGTCACTTCGACTTCGCCGTGTTCTGCCCAAACATCACCGAAGCCGTGGCGTCCTGTAACGCAGGTCAGGAATTTTATTAGAATTACACACATTTTATCGCGTGTGCGTAACTCTGCTCACACATGCAATAAAATCACATAATTCACTCAAAATATGAGGATTTATCAAGATTAACAAAAATAATTTAACTCGATATTCATGTTAAAAATTAAAAGTAATTGTACCCAGCGAAGGAAAGAGAGAAAACCAAGTTCGAAAACCAAAATCAAAGAATCTGGAATGAGGTTAAATTAGCTTTAAAACTAAATTAGAACAATTGGGGCACCTCATGTGCGTGCCAGCTGAGCCGACTGCTTTTACCCCTCCTGGCATGGTGATTTTATTTTATTTTTTTATTTTTTTTCTTTAGCCCTCCTTTGTGGGTGTTAGGGATGGGCGATATGTACTAAAAAATCTATCACGATAATTTCTAGGTTTTACCACGATAACGATAAGTGACGTTAAAAAACAAAACAAAAACACAATATCAGCCTAATGTATCAAACCAATCAAACAAGCCTGAAATATGAGAACAACTTTCACATTTATTTAAATGCTACACAGCAAATATAACTTGGCTTATAAAAGTTGCAAAGTAGTGCAACTGTAAATACAACCTGATAAATTGAGAAACAGAACTTAAAAGTATTTCACTGAAAATTAAAACTAATCAATAATCACCTCCTAATATAAATAGATGTGTAAATTACCAGTCGCTGGAACATGCCATATATTGGATAAATAAATACCAGTGCAAGTTCTAACATACATTACACTCACTTCACTAAAAATAAGATTCAAATGTTATATCAACCTGTAACAACCTTTTTTGCTGTTGGGCTACAAAATGTGCAAATGGCATGATAAATAAAGGGGGAAAAAAACAGAAAAATCTAAATACTAAAATAGAAATAAATAATTTCAATAAATTCCAACAAACATGGAAAACCTGAAATACTTCTTTGTGCAAGAATGTACAAATAAGACTAGCAGGATCGTCAGCATGCTAAACAATGAAATAAAAATAAATAATTTCAATAAATTTAAAGAGAATATAAAAACTGAAATACCTCTCTGTGCAATGGCCTCTGTTAACTCTTTCCATCGCTTGCTTTGGCTGTCATATGGTGTGGAATGAGCAAACGCGTCGACAAGTTTTGTTTGAGTGGCGGTCGGTTTTCGAAGTCGAGGCTTCTGCTGCTTCTGACTAGCATCATATTCCGGTTTGTGTTTGAGGTGGTGAAATAAATTGGTAGTGTTGCCGTCCTTTGTCGTCACAAACTTTTCATATTACAACTTTCTGAGTTGATCGGCGTCATCAAAATCATCTCTGGCGACAAACTCCTCGTCCTGCAACAGATTAAATCCCAGAAAGCATTAATGGCTGAAGAGATATCACAGAAGCTGGACATGCCTAACCTGACTGTTAGCGTACCTTGCAAAAGTGTTCACAGCTCCTTAACTCTGATGTTTTATCCGGTTATAAAGTTTGTTTTTCCTACATTCTACCTAAATAATCCTGAAAAAAAGAATGGCTTCAAAATAATAAGAGCTCAAAAGTAGCTAAATGTCCAAATGTTAAGGGGTGTAAATACTTTTACAAGGTGGTGTACTTTGAGAAAAGTCATGGTTTTGAGTTTCAGACAACTTATACTTCCAATTTTGGGTTTATCTAGAAAAATCAGTTGATGAAGAAAACAAACTTTTAAGAATAAAACAAAAGGTAATCTGACAGACTTGTTAGACGAATGGAGACATCACAACACAGGAGCCCTAAATTCATCATGAGAACAATGACCCTTAAACTCAGCAGATTCAGAGGATCTCCTCTTAAAGGAATAGTACACCCAAAACATGATTAGCCTTCATTTTCTACTCACCCCCATGCTGAACAACACTCTGGAGTACTTTTTTGATATCTCAAACGCATCTGGAGATCTGGGAGGCTTCTTGCTGTCTGCTGACAATCAAATAATGGAGGTCTATGGCGCCCGAGGCAGAAAGGTCCATAAAAGTCATTTAGAATGTTTTTAGAGCATAAACAGTAGTGTATAGGATTTCCTAAAAGCGCGTTAACGAGTCTACGGAAACCGCGGCAGACCAAACCAGATGAAAGTGCGCATTCAGCTCGGCAAAGAACTCCTGCTCTTCCTCAACACTGAAGTCCTCAGACATTTTTCTTCCGTTGTTTCTTTCTTTGCACAGGTAAACAGCTCATTTCTTCTTCTACGCTTGCATTATCGGCAGAGCAGACGCTGAATGCGCACTTTCATCTGGTTTGGTCTGCCGCGGTTTCCGTAGACTCGTGAACGCGCTTTTAGGAAATCCTATACACTACTGTTTATGCTCTAAAAACATTCTAAATGACTTCGTTTCGAGTAAATTCTGGACGCTACCCACTCAGGACACTTGGAATACATTGGACGAGCAGTATGGAGGAATATTGACACGTTTTTTGTGGACTTTTATGGACCTTTCTGCCTCGGGCGCCATAGACCTCCATTATTTGAATGTCAGCAGACAGCAAGAAGCCTCCCAGATCTCCAGATGCATTTGAGATATCAAAAAAGTACTCCAGAGTGTTGTTCAGCATGGGGGTGAGTAGAAAATGAAGGCTAATCATGTTTTGGGTGTACTATTCCTTAAAGCTGACTCAGGAATCACTAACACTTTACAAACTCCAGATAACGGAGCTGGAGCCTCTTTTAAGAACCAGGTCTTGGGGTACGTCTCCTCCACCTTCCGCCATGCTTGTTGTTTGCGCATGGCGCGCACGTGAGTTGGACTGCAGGTGTGTCACGCGCAGTATACGTCACTGGCGGGAGTTTATCGTTTTTTATCGCGAGATGACAAATTGTTACCATGAGGAATTTCTTTGACGATATATCGCACACGATAACATATCGCCCATCCCTATTATCCACCCTGATATCTTCCAAACGGTCCGGAGAATCTCACCATCTCAACCACCAGAAATTCTAGCTGAACTTCAGTCCTAACGGAGAACAGAGAAATCTAGAGACCACAGAACTGTGCTGGGTCTCCTCATCTCTTCTGTTTTCTCTCCTCTCAGACCAGCAGAACTTCAACGTGTCCGTGGAGAACATGCTGACCCGCTGCCTGGACAACGAGCGCAGCTGGCGTCTCCATAGTGACCGGAGAGACCAGGAAGTGCTGCCGCTGCTGATAGAGGACAGCCTGCCGCTGCTGACGGAGAGAAAAACCGACACGCTGGTTTTCCCGTGCATCCTCAGCGCCCTGCAGTGGATCACCCAGGGCAGAGATCCGGTTCTGACTGACCCGGCTCAGACTGCGCTTCCTGTTAAACCCAGCATCTCTGCCAGGGCCGCTCCTCTGCGGGACGCTGCTGAGATCCACGTCCTGGTAACCGGCAGCCTGCACCTGGTGGGAGGAGTCCTCAAACACCTGGACCCGGAGTCGGCCAAGTAAACCGTCCGGACTGGGAGGACTGGGATAACCACTGGGAATAATGGTGGGGTTTATTTTCAAGGTGTCCAGGTTCTGAAGGTCCTCACACCAAACAGACAGTTAGCTGTCAGGAGTGAAAGGAGCGTCAGAAGATTGGATCATGTTCTCTGAAGCTCCTCCCCCTTCTCCAGTTGCTGTAAAGCTGATCCGTGATTGGCTGCTGAGCATCATGGAGTCACTACTCATTAAATCCATGATGCTATTTTTCAATATCTGAGGTAAATTATCCAAACTTTTTTGTCTGAACCCAAAGAAAACGAGATCAGAACCAGCAGTGACCCATTCCACTTTTACAGCTGATGCGGGGGGGTCAGTTCTGCACTTTTTTTTTTTTTTTTATCTCCCACCAATCAGATCATTGAATTATCCTGAGCTCCAGTAGTTTGGTGCATCGGGACCGTGGTTCCGTTCTGACCGAGCCTCACCCATAGCCTTACAGATGAGCGTGCACGCACGTTTTTCCTCTTACTTGAAGCCGAATGTGTTTACATAATCCGTCTCTTCAGGATCGGTCGCCGGTCCAGAACCCTGGAACCGGTAAAAACTGGATCTCTGCCTTCATCATCATCTCAGCTCCTTCTCAGTGTGGATCTATTTCCTTGTATCAGTCCTGTGGAGAACATGTCATCTATAAGTGTTACCAGAGGATCTCCGATCCGTTTCACTTCAGCCTTAATTTATATGATTATACTGACACCTACAGTTGGGGAGAGGTACTGCAGCATTGAATTCAGCTTAAACTTCTTTTTTTTTGTTTCAGTAAAGCCCACTGCATCGGATGCACTTAAACTTTGTGATTGAAAGCAGAACTGTTCCCTTAAATTATTTAAATAAAATAAATATTTCAGGCTTATTTATCTCAATCAGATGTGGCTAACGATAAGCTTTACTAATTAACTACACACTTTAACAGATGTGTAAGTACTGATGTATTAATTCCATGAATTATCTGTTAAGTCCCAAACTAATGTATTTCCCTCATCAGTGGAGTCGCTGAGGGTTGAAACGTTTTTGCCTCAATAATAAATGTAAAAGATGCTGAAATGAAGATGGTGCCAATAAATATTGTTTAAAAAAAGTCTCAGATTTTTTTTTGTCTTCCTGCAGGAATCCATGCTTCTGCAACTGGAAAATAAAGCAAGTTTTAAAAGTTTGCAGGAGCACAGACCCTTAACTTCTCATTAACATCAGAAACTCCCTTAAGAACAGTATTAAAATTTAAGGAATAATTGCACAGCATTCAGATCAGAAAAGCTTCAATAACTTTACAATCATAAGGACTGTTCAAGTCTAACTTTTTTCGTTTTATAATTTATTAATACAGTTGTATTAAGAAAATGCCTCACCTTACCATTATCAATTCTAGTAGTATGATATAAATGCGAACCTTCAGATAAAAGTAGTTCTCAAAGCAGTCCAACAGGTGTCAGAACATTTGTAAACTTTTTAAGCAATTTAAATTAAAATAACTTCTACAAAAAAAAATCCTAACCATATTTGGAAGTAATAAACCCCTTAAATAGTTGGTCAAATTATGACACAATCAAAGCCCCGCCCCCTGAGTGCAGAACAACACTTTTTCAATTCTGTCATTTTTAACCTCATCACCTTGAAAGTTAACCTGACTCCGCCAGATGGATTTGCTCTGCATATCCATCTGGAAACCTTCCGTTGAAGTAATTTTGGGAAGGGGCGAAAATACTGGTTAGCTGATTGGCCTATGTTGGTGATAGACGGGCCAAATAAACCAATCAGATCAACGAAGCATATGACGTACTAACAGAGCCAATTGATAGATCAAACTCTTGCCGAAACCAGTCGGGAGAAGAGAAAAAACATCTTTTCCTCGGAGAAAAGCCTCCAGAGCAGTGTTTTGCTCTTCTTTCAGTGAAGAAATATTCTGTAACTCCGATAAAACTTGCTCGATAGCCACGCTAACGCTAGTTTCATCGGCTGAAGCCGCCATGTTCTTTAGACTGAACTGTCCCGCTTCTCGTTGCGTCACACCTCAACCCGCCTCAAAGCCAACGCTGATTGGACGTTCGTTTGGTGAACGGCTCCAAATTTTCTTTAACAGAGAGTAGCCAGACTGATCTGCGAGTGAAACCTTGAAAGCTCGCGAGATCAGGATGGTCTCATGAGGCTACTTGAAACTGGGGCAAAAGGCAGAAAAAGACTCAAATTCTCAACTCTGAATTGATCTAGTTTAAAGTTAGAAACTTGAGTTTTTTGTTTCACAACAGCTGCTTTTATGTTTAATCAACTGAGTATGTTCACTCAGGGTTGAGTGCATAACAAGTATAAAAAGCCATGATTTCTAACTAGAGATTTTAATGTGAAAAAAAAAAAAAAATTGAGAATTTGTTTTAAAGAATGAGCAGCATTTTATACTTTATATGAAGTTGGCTATGGCAAGCCGTATTTACATTTATTAAAAGCGCTCTCTGTTTTGCCATTTAGAGATTGTTCAAATATGATTCTCTTGTCAAAATCACAGTCCTAGACTGAACTCTATTTTATTTTCTGAATTAAATTTTTGGAAACAGAAACTGAATTTCAGAAGAAAAGAAATTAAGTTTTATATATTTAAAAATGTTTACACATTTTTAGTTGCTGTCATGACATTTATTAGCTTCACTGAAAATATATATCTGATATATGAAATACATTAATTCCAAATCAATATGATGCAAATTATGATCAAATAAAAATATAGAAATCTAGAGGTTTTTTTTTGGACATCCAGAATTGTTAATTTCAGGTATGTAGGATGTTATTTTTGTTTTTTCACATGTTTTTTCTTCTTTTTTTGTTTTGTTTTGTTATGACTTTATTAATTTACTTCTATTTGCTTTTTATTAAGTGTTCGAAAAAAAAGATCAATAATTTTTGAAATCTGAAAAGTTCATTTGGCAAGGAAAAAAATTATTTCAGATATGAGGAATACTTATTGAGACAAACAAATAAATATCCAAACAGCCTGCCGTACTCTGTTGAAACAATGATATTACAGGAAAAAATAGTTTAGTAGTGAATCAATCTATTTAGGTCAGAGGTTCAACAGGGGGTCCAGGGAGGTACTGCATGGGGGTCGCAAAAGTTTTGGTTGATTACTTTTTTTTTTATATTCTCCCCTGCAATTTTTTCCACTAATTGGAATTTCTTTAAATCCACATTAACATGAATCCAACAGACTTTCAGTCATGTCTTTCAGTCATCAATGCTCACATTCAGCGACAAACAGGAGCTCTTTCACGCTGGGCACCGTTTCATTCACAACACCTGTCCCATCAACGAGAAATTACTTTAGTTACATTACTCCATCTGTAATAGAGTGACTATAGGGCCAGTTTTATATAAAACAATTCCATACAATATATAAAATTAGAAGGTTCCCCGCTCCATCTCGCCATCAGTTTGGGGTCTTTGCCCTGGAAAACGTTGAAGAGCCCTGATTTAGGTGATCACCTGGCAGCAGGTGAAGATGAAGTCTAAAAACATTCAAACATGCAGGGCCTGTTCATCATGTCATGGGGTTCCTCCTCATATTCCATTATACAGTAAACAATTTCCTGAAAATCTGTTCATAAATTTTCAATTTATCCTGCTAACAAACCAACAATGTTCCCTTTTCTTGTGTTTTTTTACTTATAATACCTCCTAATTTTTTTTATTAAAATTTTTTTTTATTCAACAATTGCACAGTTTACATGAATACATGAACATCCCTCTCCATTGTGAAAACAATACACTATGCAGTATCCAACATGGTGTTTTAACATAAAACATAAATGAAGATTTACATCATGACATTTTGCCAGGGGAAGTACAAATTTATAAAAATATATTAAATTATTTACACACATTTACAGTTTTTGTTGCCTTTTGATTAAGAGAATACTTAATCGCATTGACATATTGCTTGACCTTATTGTTAAAAGCAATAAAAGATATTTTGAAATGTACAAACTTACATTTATGAATGTAAAATTTTGCAGAGAAGAGAATAATCAGATAATAATGTAAGTTTCATTTGGCCTAGTCTTAGTACTTTTGAGGTCATAAAGTTCAAAAAGGACATCCTTCCAAAATAACTTTATAATACCTCCTTATATCTTATAATACCTCCAGTACTCACTGCTGCCACCATCTGGTTTACTGGGGAACTGCTTGTTCCACCAAATATCCTTATCTCACAATGTTAGAGAACCATTTAAAAAAAAATCCTGTATTAACATTATGATCTGGATCATCAAGAAATTTTAATGGGTGGTTCCTTGGCATGAGGGACACTTCCGATAAAAATTTCATCAAAATTCATCCATAACTTTTTGAAGTTATGCTGTACACAGATAGAGAAAAAACACACAAACATTCCTAAAAAAAAAAAGAAAAAATTAACCTCCTTGGTGAAGGTAAAAAGACTGTATGATCACTTTTAAACAACACAGCAAAGCAAGGAGGAACTCAAAAATCTCAAACAGTTGAAATATCTTTGAGTTATCCATAAAAAGTCATCAGTCAAGATAGAAATGGTAAAAATCCAGTTTAATTAGAGAAGGTCCAGTTAAAAGCTACTGTCAGGGTTTTTATTCCTTCAATAAAGTAAATAGGATTTATTTTTTGAAAGCAAAAAGCAACATTAAGGCGACACTGGGATCAGAGACAGAAGCCAATCCAGCAGATCTAAAGCAGGGGCGGAGCTAGATGGGGGGCCAGGGGTGGCCATGGCCACCCTTACCCAATCATTGGCCACCCCTATCATTTTTTCCCTATAAGACGGTGGCAACAGTAATACTGACTTATTTAACGTTTTAATTTTCTATATGTTAACAAGTACCTGACAACAAAAACCTGGTGGTTAATTATGCACATCAATATACTAACATTAAAAATAAATACAGAGCTCATGCTCTTTTCAGAACTAGATTTTGTCTTTTATGGGGTATAGAGAAAATTATGTCTCTGCAAGTCATCTAGGAATCTTCACTGAAATCAGAGATCAATAACTACTTTAATAATAAGTAATCAATTTATTGTAGATATTAGTACATGTAAATATTAATTTTATGCTGAATGATTCTTAATAAAATTAGAGTAGTATTGACAATGAATAAGATGTTCGCCCCAGAACTCAAAACTAAAAGAATTTTGTCCACTACACCTTTAAATTAGACAGCATGGATTTTTAAATATATGCTTCTATTTCTTAGAAAAGGCTGTAGAAAAGTATAGTTTGTCTTTATTTAGAAAATATGGATGTTGTGATTGTTAATTTTCCTATTGGAACAGTATAGATTGACCCTGAGGTTCTGGCACCTATCCACTTTTGGCCTCCCCTCAGTGTACATTGGTTATTGCCTGGCCAGCCTTATTAAAATTTTCTGGCTACGCCTCTGATCTAAAGGAAGGATAAAAATGGATGATCAGTATTTTGCGGAATCTGATGCTGCCAGAATTATTCCTCTAATGGAGACGAACTTGGTGAGAAACTGGAGCAGAATTCCTACCTCTTATTTTGCACTAATTGGTTCTGCAGACACATCTTATGGGGGTAAAATAATGAAAATGGGATGAATTAAAATGGAAGCTTGCATCACCCTGTTGGATTTGAAAAAAAAACCCCCAAAAAAATGTCTATGCAGAGGCGTAGCCAGAAAACTTTTCTAAGGGTGGCCAGGCAATGACCAGCGTATGCTGTCTTATCTTTTGGTCAAGCCAAAGATAAAACAAACTATACTTCCCTACAGCTTTTGCTAACAAATAGACGCATATATTTAAACATCTGTGCTTTTTTAAATAAAAGGTAATAAATCGTTCTGGGGCAAACATCTTTTCCATTGTTATTACCTACTTGTATCAATAGTCATTCTGCATAAAAATTGATATTTACAAGTACTAATATCGACATAAACTTTTTATTATTAATATGTTTTTATTAAAATAGTTATCTATGATTTCACTGAAGACACATCATTCTGTCTTTAACCCGTAAGAAGGTGGCCCAGGCCCGGGCCGCCATCGAGGGCACGGCCGCGGACTGCGCTCCTGTCCCGGTCATCCTCACCGCCATGCAGC